CCCTTTTTGGGTTGTAAAAAGTATTTCTAGCAATTTTAAAAGATTTATCAATTACATTCCTCGGGTATTTCAGATCATTGGCTATTTCATAAATTTTTGGGTATTTCTTCATCTATGAATCTGGACACAAATACGTAAAGCTCTCAAAAACATTGATGAGAAAACAGACAGTTTAACTTTATCTATATGGGAAGAATAATAATGGACATAGGAACAGTTATTTGTAGGTTTTCTGTAAATTTTTAATTTGAATTCATTATTACTCTTAATAATTAAAACATCTGAAAAGGCAATGAGGGTTTTTTTCCTCAAACTCAACAGTAAAGTTTATAGAATGGGCTAAGCTACTTAATTTGCCAAGGAAATGGGGTATATTTTACATTTCTTGGGCATCAGACATAAAATATCATCGATATATCTGAAAAATTTTGCTCTATTTGGGAGGATTGTGTTAAGCAATCTTGTTTAAAAAATTCCGTGTATAGATTACTAAGAACAGGTGAAGAGAATTCCCCCATTGCCATACCAAATTTCTGAGTTTTTAATTTATCATTAAATACAAATTTTGCTTCAACAATGCAAAGTTTAATAAGTTTAATGATGGTAGGAACTGGTAATGGTAAATCATAATTAACGAGTTCTTCAGATAAGAAACTTAATAAATCATCAACAGGAACTTTCGTAAACAAGGAAGTAACATCAAAACTAACCATGTTAAAAATCATTTAAGTCAGTCAAGGAGCTTAATATATCAACTAAATCTAAGTTGTTTTTAACATTGAAGTTAGAAATTTTACCAACAATAGGGCTCAAAAAAGCCAACAAGCTTTGGATAATTTATACGAAACTGATCCTATGGACCTAATAATTGGTCTGATTGGATTACCTGGTTTGTGTGTTTTTATTAGTCCATACATGTAAGGTAAAGATAGATTAGTGGAAGTAAATTGTTTAATTAATTCATCTTAACCTTTTAGTAGAAGTTTTATTGTTTTATTGAAATTGCTGTTAATGGTTTCTAAGGTATGGCAATGGGGAATCCTCTTTACTGTTCTTTGTAATCTATACATGGAATTTTTTTTTAAACAAGATTGCTTAACACAATCCTCCCTAATAGAGCAAAATGGTTCAGATATGTCGATGATATTTTATGTCTTATGCCCAAGAATGTAGATATACACCATTTCCTTGGCAAATTAAATAGCTTAGCCCATTCTATAAACTTTACTGTTGAGTTTGAGGAAAATAACTCATTGCCTTTTCTAGATGTTTTAATTATTAGAGTAATAATGAATTTAAATTTAAAATTTACAGAAACCTACAAATAACGTTTCCTATGTACACTATTATCTTCCCATCAAGATAAAGTTAAACTGTCTGTTTTCTCATCAATGTTTTTGAGAGCTTTACGTATTTGTAGTCCAGAGTTCATAGATGAAGAAATATCCAAAATTTATGAATTAGCCAATGATCTGAAATACCCCAGGAATGTAATTGATAAATCTTTTAAAATTGCTAGAAAATACTTTTTACAACCCAAAAAAGGGGGCAACCAACCTTATTCAACTAAAAATATGTTGGTTCTCCCTTACCATAAAAACTGTGATCTTATTGCATATATATATAAAATATATATATATATATATATATATATATATATATATATATATATATATATATATATATATATATATATATAATATATATATATATATATTTTATATATTTTATATATACATATATATTCAGAGTGCAGGTACTGTACTCCCCACCTCTTGAACTCCAATCTAGCTAACCGGTTCCCCTGCATTCCATTATAAATGTTACCTGCTCACACTCCAACAGCACATCAATTTATACAGGAGACAAGGGTATTAGTCCCTCGCTCCTGGCACCTTTGTTGCCTTTAACGACACGTTTACAGAGGAGGAATTCTGCTCCACTTATACAAGGAGGAGAAAAATAACAATGTAAGGACAACAACTATTTAGAGATTATAAATGAAACCTACATGAGAATGTATACATATAGTATACGTACATACACTATCGTACGTGTAGTGTAGACTAGGTGTAAATACAGCAGTAGTACCAAGATGTACCTTTCATCCTACGTGTTAATGAGACAAAGAAATGGCCCCAGCAATAATTCGATGCCCAAAATAATTACAGGTTACCGTTTCTCACTTGCGTGGAATAATAATAATAATAATTATAATATTTCCCTGGCTAGGCTTCCGAAGAAGAGTTCTCTCGTTTTCCATAACTTCAAACTGCCTCTCTCACGAAATCGTTAATGACACGATTGCAAACAAACCATACCACGGGCGGGATTTGAACCCGCGGTCAGAGAGTCTCAAAACTCCGACCGTCGCGTTAGCCACTAGACCAGCTAGCTTTTAATAAGATTCGTCCAACTGGTGTATTTCTACACCATAGGAAAGGTTAGCATAGGCACCACTGTGTCCACAAATGCAAGTTTTTACAGACGGCCATGCTAGCGGGAGAATCGTCTGTAAAAACTTGCATTTGTGGTCACAGTGGTGCCTATGCTAACCTTCCTATGGTGTAGAAATACACCTAGTTGGACGAATCTTATTGAAGCTAGCTGGTGCAGTGGCTAACGCGACGGTCTGGAGTTTTGAAACTCTCTGACCACGGGTTCAAATCCCGCCCGTGGTATGTTTCTTTTTTTCAGCTGCCTGTGCTTGAGTGATCCATGAGCGGTACTTCCATATTCCCTCACACGAGCTCCCTGTACCTCAGTGCAATAACAGGCACAGTGACTGTACCTGAATACTCTCAAGAGGAAGAACAGCTTTAGCTCAACTTCATCATAAGAAAATTAGAATTTATTGTTTAACCCTGGGCAATAGGTCCAAGGTTGGAGGTAAACAGCTTCCAGAGGCCCTGGAGCATTTTGCTCGACTCATCCAAAAGTTTTACTTAGTTATTTTTACAGAATCAGTGTGCATCAGGAAAATGTAAGTTTACATTTACCTAAAAATAATTTCTTATCTATATACAGGTTTTAAGGTTTCTCATTCTCATAAAAAATAGGCTATTTCAATATTTTAAAATCTTGCTAGCGCAGCTACGGGTAGTAAAGAGCTTAATGGCAAAAAAAAAAAAAAAAAAAAAAATATGATTTTCGAATGGTTACCCGCACAGTTTGAACTTCTCTCCAAGTAAAACTCCCCTCAAGGAAGGTTCCTTGATGTTGGTGAGGGGCTCTTGATTTAGGGAATTGGATCTGTGCTCCAGTTCCCCGAATTGAGCCTGAATGCCTTCCACATCCCCCTCCAGGCACTGTATAATCCTACGGGTTTGGCGCTTCCCTTTGATTATAATAATAATAATAATAATAATAATAATAATCCAAGTAAAACGACAAACTGGCACCTCTCAGTTTAAATCCAATTAGATAGTGAGATACATCAGAGTGGAAAGTTTAAATTTAGTCAGGAAAATCAGGCTCTAATTATCAGAAAAAAAAAACGGTAAAGAAAACCCAGTTCAACCTAATAACAATGTAAATCTTTTCTCGAGCAAATTATTTCAATGCAAAAAGTTTGAAGCCCATCAGAGATATTCATTTATCGCTCGGAAGACCATAATCTTTTCATGCAATAGTAAACTGGAAATTTGGCGCCTACATAGCATAAAACTAGTATGTAGTATAATCTGAACCTTCTTATAGCTATGAGACTTAGGTAAAGAAAATCTGAAGTCATTTAGAGGTGATGTCTAGGTATGGCATGGAAACCTTGGGGAAAGAAAATAAAAATCAATAGGTACTGTAGGTACCGACAGCTGCTGTTGGTAACGATAGCTGTTATTGGTAATTGTAGCTACTGTAGGTAACGATAGCTGTTATTGGTAATTGTAGCTACTGTAGGTAACGATAGCTGTTATTGGTAATTGTAGCTACTGTAGGTAACGATAGCTGTTATTGGTAATTGTAGCTACTGTAGGTAACGATAGCTGCTATTGGTACTTATAGCTATTGTAGGTAACGATAGTGTATATTGGTACTTATAGCTACTGTAGATAACGCTAACTGTTGTTGGTTCTTACACAATAGGTATCGATAGCTGTTTTTAGTAGAGTAACCTTGTCGATCTAGGAACACTGCCGGATTCCAGGATAATGACCATGGAAAAGAATGTGATAATGGGGGGTCTGCATAACCTTAGGGCTGTCAGGGTACAAGTTTAATATGTTTAATCATCCCCCAAGGGGATAGAGAGACTTATTCCTATGCATTACTAAGTAGGAACAGAAGTAGAACAAAGGATTCAGGTGACCGGGTGGCAGATTCCAGGATAATGAGTGTGGAAAAGAATGTGATAATGGGGGGTCTGCATAACCTCAGGGCTGTCAGGGTACAAGTTTAATATGTTTAATCATCCCCCAAGGGGATAGAGAGACTTATTTCTGTGTATTACTAAGTATAAGAAGGTAGATAATGATCACTTCTGACTCCCCAAACTCTATCACTCTGATAGATGGGAGAGGCAGTACAAAGGATTCAGGTGACTGGGTACAAGCTTGCCATCTCCGAGGGAGTTCCCCGGTCTGCAACTCACTGACGCAACTGTTGCTACTTCACAACACTGCTGGGTTTAAAGAACGCGGTAATGGAGGGTAGCTGGTCTCCGAGGGAATGTTGCTCGTCCGCCCGTACCTCAGCAAAAAAAAGGTTCTTCCGGGTACTACGGTACCGTTTATTCTTGCAGCTGCTAGATCTTTCCAGGTGGGGGAGGCTTAAAGCAGTGAGAAAGGTCATCTAGGGAAGACCTTTGTGCTGATAGAGCTCTTACAGGAACTTTGACATATATATTTTCCTCTTACCCGCTCTCAGATGGGGAGAGGCTTAAGTGGTGCGATATTGTTTATATATACTATATATATATGTTTAGACTAGAGAAGATAGTAATATATAGTTATATGTAAATAAAAATAAAAATCAGAGTTTGACAATATTTTTATTAATTCACATACAAAAAGGGCAAAAGCTGTGCAAAGTTTTTTTAGCGCGAACAAAGGGGCGAAACTGTGCAAGTTTTAGTGGTTAGACTGAATGACTGCGCTCCTCCTGTTCACTTTCTGTAAGATTGATAACCTCCCGCTCGAAAATGATTTCCTTTTCAGGTACATCATCATCTGCCTTTACTCCATCTGCTGTCTTTACTCCATCTGCTGTCTTTACTCCATCTGCTGTCTTTACCCCGTCTGCTGTCTTTACTCCATCTGCTGTCTTTACTCCATCTGCTGTCTTTACTCCATCTGCTGGCTTTACTCCATCTCCAGCATTTACTCTCACGTCGGGGGTTTTCCCTTCCTTCTCCGACTGCTTGTCAGGGTGCGCTTCAAGGTCGGCAGTTTGTTCAGCACCTGCTGCGGCAGTGACCTCAACAGAGTCATCAGATTGAGCAGTAGCAAGCGTAGAGAGGTCCACAACGAGGTCATCAGACTGACATGAGGGAAGGCTCTGCGTTTCATCGTTGTCAAGATCTGGTTCTTTCTTCATAGGCTCCTCTATATCAGATGAACTGTTCCCATCTTCCACAGGCTGTAAGTCATAAAGAGAACATATTTATCACTTTCAAATAAAGGAGTGGGACTCGTCTCTAATCTACCAAAGGAGGGAAACATAGAAGACATACCCTTTCCTGAGGAAGTCTATGTTTGCGTTTCCTGCTATCATCACAATGACACCGGTTTAGGAGTTTGATGCCGGCGTGTTCCTTCCCTTCCAATCTACCAGCCGATAAAATCAAAACTTTACAAATTCTGACTGGCCCAGTGAAAACTGTTGAAGAAAAAAGGAGACTCAACTTTAAAATTATTATAAGTCTCTTGCACTCGTTTGTTTCGTTAATATTCAAAGAGAAGTATCCAATCTACCAGCCGATAAAATCAAAACTTTACAAATTCTGACTGGCCCAGTGAAAACTGCTGAAAAAAGAGACTCAACTTTAAAATTATTGTAAGTCTCTTGCACTCGTTTGTTTCGTTAATATTCAAAGAGAAGTTTTAGCAAAATAAATGTCTCGCTTACCAGAATCGAGAATGTCTGCTTCCTTCACCATGATGAGAGTAAAGGCTATGGAGAGGTCAGCCTCTATCTTTTGCGGGGAAGACAGCTTCAGCGGGCTCTTATATACAGCTCAGAGAGGACCTTACCAGCCAGGAGGGGTATTTGGGGGATACTCTCGTCAGAGGTGACCTTCCTCACAGAGGGAAGCACAAATGTAACCTTGACTACTTAGGCAAAATGTAATTTCACAGGGAGGCAACATTTTAAAATTCTCTCTAGCATATGCTATCACTAATCTGTCATTGATAAAAAGCGATTTTTCCGAGAATTTTTTTTTTTAAAAATACAAAGCTCTTTCTAATCCCACAAGGCTTGCTTTATGAATAAACATCATAACATATAGACCGCAAGTGAGTGAAAAATCACTTTGTGTTCTGCCGGATAAACGATATAAATATTTAATTTTATTTAGTTTAAAATTTTTTTTTAAATTTATGCCATAATTCTCTGGTTTTTTCCCGTAACTGTCAAAGAAGAAGGATAGACTATTTTTCTTGTCCAAGGAGACGCCGCCATAAAACTCACATTACCCTAATTACATAGGGTACCAGTTACTTGAACTCGCCCAAATTAAGCTGTACCATTTTTGGTATATTGATTCTTAAGAAAAACATACCGAAGACAAAATAAAACTATCTTATTCAGATACCGATAGTGTCATAGCTGGTTTAGAGGGCAAGGTAAAAACCTACTGATTGAAATCGGTAAGGAAACCATTGAGGAAATGGATAGAAATGACAATCTAATTTCCCCACAGATCATCTCTCTTACAATGACTCAGGAACGGGATCTCTAGGGCTTACTTAAAAGTGAGAGGGGGCGGCGCCATTATTTCAGAAATAGTTGCATTAAACCCAAAATGTATAGAATACTGCTAGAAGATAATAACATATCAATATCGCTAGCGAAAGGAGTTCCCTTCGCAGTCTGGACGGCTGAATGACAACAATTATTAAATCATAATCACTTTAGGAAAGTGTGACTGGGGCAAATAAAAGACGGTTCTAAACATACTTCCAATATAGTCACATTAGGAAATTTAAAAGGTCGATGACACTATCACCCTAGGAATACAAGGTATAGCTCATTTGATGATAAGCGATTTTACTTAGATGCTATCTACTGCTGTATCCTATGGTCATCCAGATGCCGGAGAAACTAAAGTTTAATTCATTTAAAAATGTAAAAACAGTTGACAAAGTGGAGGGGTAAGACGAGGAAGCTTTTAGTAGTACTGATACGAAGGGGGAGTACCAGAAGGAGGGGAACTAGCGATGAGAGAACAGTTGCAATCTTTGGGCGGGGGAAAAGAAGAGGAAAAAACCGTTGATAGAGATTTTGTTCCACCGGGTCAAGGCATCGACGCTCGGCGAGAGAGGTGATCTTCCGCTCTCCTTACTGCTCCAGTAGTTTCATGCTCTTAGAAGCTAGCTGTTTGGAGACGGCGAGGAGGAATAAAGATCATTGTAATGTTCAACTAATAAATATATTTGCTAAGTGAGGACTGTTTTTGTTTTCACCTAGTGAAAATTTGGTTATTATCTTTTTGCACACAGATGCCCCCCGATGTACCCGGGCGTGAGCTGAGCGCCAGGCAGATAATCACACGATGACCCGCGACCGAAAAGAGGCATGGCTGGCTGCACACACTCCCTCAGAGGACCCCTACCCAAATTATTAAGTCGAAACAGGCACCTGAATCCATTGTTACTAGCCTTCCGCATTCACGGAAATTAAAACTCCTCTACCCCTTGGGGGATGAGTGATGAGCCCACCCCAGTTATTAAGTCTCCTGGACAGTTCGAGGCCTAAGCTGTCGTCCATTACCGCATTCTTTAAACCGTCGGTGTTGGAAAGAAGTTAGAGCACATTGCGTCAGTGACGGGGGGGGGGACTCCCTCGGAGATGGCATGCTTGTACCCGTCACCTGAATCCTTTGTAATGCCATACTCCCATCTATCAGAGTGATAGAGTTTGGGGGAGTCAAGAAGTGATCATTTTTACCTTCTCTTAATATTAGAGTAATACACAGATATAAGTATTCCATCCCTTGGGGATGGATTCTAAAAAATATTAAACTTGTACCCTGAAGGCCCTGAGGTTATGCAGATCCCCTCCCATTATCACATTCTTTTCCACCTCATTATCTGGAATCTCCACCGGTCAACCTGAAATCCTTTGTTCGCATACTTCTGTGCTCTACTTTGGTAATTGCATAGAGGAAAAGTCTCTCTACCCTGGTGGTTGAGTAAAACATTATTAACTTGTACCCTGACAGCGCCTTAAAGGGTTATGCAGACCCCCCCATTATCAGACATTTTTTCATATGGTCAATTATCCTGGGATCCGGCAGGTGTTCTAGATCGCGACGACGTTTTCTCTATCTCACACACGGGCTTTCCCATACCATTTAGTGAATGGATAATGCAAACGCAAGCTCTGTGCAGTACGTCATTCGGTACCTCGGGTGCACGTATATCGGCTTATGAGAATATTCCTTTCTGACCTCAGAGAATGTTTCTCAAGCTGTTTATTGCTCGATAATAGTTTTTACATACATGATTTATGTCTGGGAGGATCATCTGTACTACACTCTGTCGCTGGTTGTTTAAAAAGATCGAAGAGCTCATTGCCTTACCAATCAAACCACAGTAGAGTGGGGGTTCTCTTGGATTTTTGATAGTTCAATACCTCGGGGATGTGTTATTTCTTGCACGTAATATATCACATACTTCCTACAAGACGTAAAAGCAGTTATTCTAGAAAGCTCCTTTCTAACTACAATAAAACTAAATTGTCTAGCAGTTTTACGTGGGTCAGTATAATTTCAAAAGGAACTTTTTGAACATAAGTTAAATAGGTCTGACTTCCATTCTCACAGTACTATTTAAGAAGTATGTAAAGGAAACTTTGTTTGTTTTGAAGATGGCATGTAGAGAAGCTTCGAACAAGTAAAGTTTAGCTTTCCAATCCTCCTGTTCTAAATTTTACCAATTATTAATTAAAGAATCTTATTGTCTCCAAACGAGAGTAGCCTTCCATTCAGGACTCGGCGGTTACACTACAGTATTAGTGATGAGAATTTCACTTCCTATATCTCTCCACCAAGTGAAGAAGTTATGCGTGGGAGAAATACTCTCACTGTGGAGAAGGAATGTTTTGCATTGGTATGGGGTGTAAGTGGGTTCAACTACTACTTATATGGAAAACCCTTTGTGCTTGAAACAGATCGCAAGGCACTGATGTACCTAGGAAAACTTCAAAGGGTTCAAGTAGCCGACTGCGTTAAGATGGGCTATCAGTCTTATTAAGTTAAAGTTGGTGACCTAGCACCATTAATTTTTAGCTTAGAGTGCGCAGGATTAAAAAGTATTATATTACGGCTTTGCATCTAAGGCTCGAGTCTTGGTTCAAGGCCATATAAGCTGATGTATATGGGGCTATACCCTATTAAGCCATAGCTTAGCGTAATTAATTATGGAGCTGGTATGTGCTGGATTTCAATGTCTGTTTTCAGAGTCCACGCTTGAGGGGATAATGCCAGCCTAATTTTTAAATCGATATTGTCAACAGAATATTGGTCCAGGAAGGGGATATTGTCCAGAGCCAAAGGGAATAACACAGAGTTGTTGCCTGTTCTTTATCATCTTGTCTGTATCTGTGGTTTCTTTTGCCGATGTGCGGGCGACATAGGCTGAGTATCGAACAATTTAGTTATACCTTCTCCTCCTTTAAAGGTCGGGCAAGAGATACCCCAGTTGGTGCCCCACCCCCCCCCCCCCAATCGGCGATACTCGGCAAACTGGCGTCGTTTCTACTGAGCTGCAGAGTTTAATTAAATGACCAGTAATTAAACTAGGAGGAATTGTTTCCGTTATTTGCTTCGCCCGAAAACACACTGGACACTTTTAAATAACGTGTTGTAAGACCATTTATGGATTGCACGTTGCTTGTTTCCCCTAGTGGCTTCGCCTATCAGCCCTCTGTTTAGAGTTCACTTAAATTCTATAAACTAATTTTGCATAAATCTAGAAATGCTCGGGAACTCCAGGAATTCTAAATTTCTAGAAAATTATCTTTAGTTTTTGAGAAGAGAGGAAGGTTTACTGGTAGAGTATCAAAACTCTGAGGTGCGAGCTATGGAACTCTTCAACTTGTCTCAGTATCTATGCAGGTCGAGCGGTATTGATTAATGACCTTGAAGAATATCTTTTAACGGGACTTTGGAGTCCACTGTTTGCAGCCCCGACACCCGCCATGGCTAAATAAGCAAACTGTTTATTCGAGAGAGAATACTTCGGTTTTTTACTAACAACTTGGCTATCGTCGGCTGTTTATTTGTTAACCTGCATATATTATTTCAACCGTCGCTCTTACCAATCCCTTTTTACTCTGCCACCTGTAATTAACTTTCTTTGCAATCTTTTAAGCATTATCCGTGAAGATTTAAGAGCAGTTTTCATGTCTGTTTTTTCCAGGATGATAATCATCGTGCTATTTTAGTTCAAATTCTATGCCAACTGCGCGCAGCCACTCTAATTAATAAAAGTTTAAAGCTCTTTTAGCTTTGACCCGCTTGAAAGCCGAAAAAATCCCCCTCACCTCGGACTCTGTATGGCGCAATGAAAAGTTTGTAATATCCCCACGGACCAGCTCCCCACATGGGAGGGTTTTAGGAGAATAAACTCCGAAATTTCTGCTCAGAGGGGCACTTTAAGGGTACACGCATGTTGGCGGTTAGAGAAACACTAAACTATTTTTTACGCTGGGGGGAAAAAGTTGGTTCTAGTTTATTTATCCTCGCGGTTTACAGGTAACACTAGGTAGTGGACATTGATCCCGCTTTCAAATGACAGATGTACGACCAAAACTGATCTGTTCATTTTGATAGCTATTTTATCTATTTAGTTACGAATAGAGGTTTGTCACATCTAGTGGGATGAGCGCTTTTGAATAAACTCCTGAAAGGCGGTAAGCATCCAGATTATTGCTATCCGACTGCGCTATGTCTGGGTTCCACAATATCTCTATTATATTAAAACATAATCAACTACGGCAGTGGGATCAGGTTTGAATGGGGCAATCTGCTTGGGGAGGGTAGCCCCCCTCGGTCACGTTACTACGAAATAAATAATATTTTTCAGCACTCCTAAGCCTAAGCTCCGAGCTATTCTCGGTTTAAATTGAGCCTTTAAATAAAGTGGCAGCCTATTGTTTTTTCCCATAAAGGGTTCGCGATCTCGTCGAAACTAAAACTCCTCCCACATTCCGGCATCA